GCCATTGCATCAAATGTTATGGGTCAAAACCTGTATCCTAATTTGTTCTCTGGCAGGGGATCAGGCAAGACGCAAACAGCTGAACCAAAGTCCAATTTTATTGAAAGCAATAAAACGTCAGCTGGGACTTCTCTTAAAAGCAGAGAAGACCCCCGAAAATACAGTGTACAGATATTTTATAACAAGCAAAGAGCCATAAAGGTCTACAATTCTATTGGTTAACTTTACCTAAAGGTCAAATTTCCAGTTCTTCCTAGGGAAAATTTGGAAAAAATGGTGGAATGTCACCAGAACATCTCTTCTAGAAAAACATCCTATCCTCTTGGGATCATCCTTCTTCTCATAGATCACGCCTGTCAGTCCAACATCTCCCGGGATGCTTTCCTGCTTTTCTTTGTGAAAAGAGGTCATTTAAGAAACTCATTCACCAAACATGTTTGGCATGCGTGGGGAGAGAGAAAAAAAGAAACTTCAGCTAGTGACCCATGATTAAAAAACAAATTAAAATCAGAGTTGACAATGCTTTCATTGCACCACTGAAATGTCATCAAAAATCAAAGTTTTCCAATCCTTTAAGCTTCTTCAGTTGGATGGGCACCTACATCTTTACTGTCTGAAGAGCTTTCTCTTCAGGCAACTTTCCCTCAGTGACTGGCTGCAGTGCTAACCTTTAAAGTCCTAAATGGCTTGGGTCCAAGCTATCTCAAGGACTATATCTCCCATTATGAGTAGGGTTGGGTGTCAAGATCACAGGGGACGCCTTTCTCTTGGTCTCACCACATTCAAAGATGCACTTGGTGGAGACACAGGAGAGAGCCTCCTCTGTTGATGTGTGCAGACCCTGGAACTCCCTCCCACTGGACGCAACCTTTAAAGTCCTAAATGGCTTGGGTCCAAGCTATCTCAAGGACTATATCTCCCATTATGAGTAGGGTTGGGTGTCAAGATCACAGGGGACGCCTTTCTCTTGGTCTCACCACATTCAAAGATGCACTTGGTGGAGACACAGGAGAGAGCCTCCTCTGTTGATGTGTGCAGACCCTGGAACTCCCTCCCACTGGACGCAAGCCTGGCCAAAGATGCACTTGGTGGAGACACAGGAGAGGCCTCCTCTGTTGATGTGTGCAGACTCTGGAACTCCCTCCCACTGGACGCCAGCCTGGCCCCATCTCAGCTGTCCTACAAGCAGCCAAAGACCTTTCTCTTCAGGGAAGCTTTTCCTCACTGACTAGCTGCCTGAGTGGGGTTTTTTTAAATAACCTGTTGTATCTTACAGCTTTGTATACGTTTTGGTGTTGCTTTGTTTACCATTTCTTACAGTGGCATTTGTTCGATCCATCTTAGTATTTATATTCTCCCTGTTGTGAGCTTTAAATCATGTCTTTTAATGATGTCAACCACCTTGGGTCCTTTTAAAAGAGACAGGTGGGACTAAAATATTTTAAATAAATAAAATATATAGCTCAAGCTGAGAGATGGGAGGCAAGCAGCAAAGTTCAAAAAATCATCCCGGCCAGATGTTCCTTGAACCATGGGACCTGAAATGATGGTCATCTCAAGGTGGAATTTATTAATTTAAAATATTTTTGTCCTGCCTTTCTCTTTAAAAAGAAGCCAAGGACGCTGAAGGCTTAGCGTGAGGCTTCATCTACACCCTGTCCCTCTCTTCCTTGCTGGTCTTCCCCAGTCAACAACCTCATTTTCAGTGGAACAAACGTGTTCTCAGAGAGCCAGGAACATCTTGAGCCAGCTTCACGCCCATCCTTTCTGCCTAGCAGACATCCTGTCCTCCAGGTGACGATCAGAACAAAAATCTTCTCTCTTCCCTGTGGATGTTTTCTCTTCATCCCTAGCTGTACCTTTTGGGTGGGGTCCCAATTAGGAGCACGCCAACATCAGAAGTCTTTTGCAAGAGGTTTTTGGAGGAAGTGCAACTCCTGGGGATGGAGTAAAGAAATTGAACCAAAAAAAGCTGATCATAAGCCATTTTGACTGAAGAGCATTCAGTCTGAGGTTGTCCGGCTTCCCTGGCCCGTTTCTGTTGGTTGGTGCTCAATTGATTAGGGATGGTTTGCTTGTAGGAGTTCAACCACCTCTCCAGATTATGGGTGCTCTGGCACAGCCGGGTGAGGGGCAAGACTGTGAGAGCTGTCTCTGCCCCATATCACACCTGTGTATTGTGATGATCTGCATGGGCTGGCGGGTTGGCCCTTCAGATCTTTGGGGCTGTCAGTTCCACCATTCCTGTCCCTTGGCCATGCCTCTGTTGGGCAGGTGGAAACCAAGGAGGCCAAGGCGACATCAGCATCACCAACATGACAAAGCTAAGGAAGGTTAGGTCTGGTTTGTAATTGTATGGGAGACCACCAGGAGAAGACTGGAAGCCTTCGGGCAGAGCTAGGAAATCCTAACGAGCCATTGTTGACGTGGCAATTGGTTTAGATCAGTGGTTCCCAATTTTGGATTCCCAGATGTTCCCGGACTGCAACTCCCCGAAGCCTTCATCCCTATCTGTGCTGGCCAGCATTTCTAGGAGTTGTAGTCCCAAAACATCTGGGGTCTCAAGGTTGGGAACCACTGGTTTAGATGGACGGAGGGCCTTTTCTCCATAAAAGGCTGCTCTGCACATTCCTACGCATGGATGTAGCCATGGAAAGAACCTTCAAACCTGTGCACATAAATCAGAGTGTAGGGGGAAAGTGTGGACTACAATTCCCAGAATCCCCCAGCATGGCCATGGCCCCCAAAGGCACGTCTGCCAAGGATGTATCCCTGCTGGTCCTCTGGTGGCCAGAGGGCAACTTGGCAGCCTTCCCAGCCCAAGAAGGAGTGTGATTCTGCTGCCCACGCTACAGGTTCACCTCCTTCATTTTACAAGTCTTGTCCTGATACCTTCATTGGCACAAGCTATATTCAACACGCTGTGAGTGGGCTGGCCATCCTGATTTTACAAGCCTCTTTGACTCACATCCTTTAATTTGTAATCCCTTCTGTAGCTGTGTCCTTTGCTCACCTGTGGCTCAGTCCTCATGCTTGGGGCAGGCTTCTCGAGGGAGGTACACCCCGAAACTCATTCTCTTGCTCAAGGTCTGTTTATCCCAACGGCCTCGTCTCCAGGGAGAGGAGCAGGAGGTGGGGGGGACACGACGTGGCGAGCACGGGCTTCGTTCCAAAAGTTATGAGCGCCCATTCCCGCCCTCCTTTGCTGACTTAGTCAACAGCAAGGAACATGGGATCTGGAAGTCCAAAATATCTGGAGGACACCAAGCTAGGCAAGAGGGCTGGAGTTTAGAGAGGATACTGGATTCAAATCAAGCTAGGCAAGAGGGCTGGAGTTTAGAGAAAATACAGTACTGGGTTCAAATGCCCATGGATCTGCACAGCTGCTGGAGTGACTTGTTCTTACTCCCTGGCCTCCAGGACAGTGTTTTGAGAGAACACAAAACGCCAACCTGAGCATATAGAAACATGTGCAGTGAACATGCTCCTTCCCATCACAAGGTCAACCTGTTGTAACAATGGGAAGCCCAAAACCAGTAACCCCACCACCACCACCACCATCCATTCATGATCCCCAGCAGCTGATACACCAAGACAGGCCCTCTCTGGAACGGGAAGGAACAGGTAGCCACTGAAAGGCTTCCTCCTCCACGGCGTTGACCACATCCCATTTAAAGCTGTCCCTCCGCCAGCTGCAAATGCCACCGTTGACCTAGGTGATGTTCAGGGGGGGAAAGCATTTAGAAAAGAACTCCTTTTAAAAAAGAACTGGTCCTTACATGAACCCTCAGCAGCCGAGGCGGCTGTTCTCATTTGCTGCACTCCAGATCCAAATTGAAATCGTGATCATGACAATTTTTATAAAATAAAGAAAGCACACACTCTAGGCCCTATTTTGAATACCGTGTCCAGGACATCCGGACACCTAACTTTAAGAAGGATGCTGACAAACTGGAGCAAGTTCAGAGGAGGGCAAGGAGGAGGATCCGGGGACTGGAAACCAAGCCCTAGGAGGAAAGACCCGTATGTTTAGCCTTGAGAAAAGAAGATTAAGGAGAGAGAGAAGAGCACTTTTCAAACACTTGAAAGGTAGTTATCCAGAAGAGGGGCAGGATCTGTTCCCGATCATCATCCTAGAGTTACAGGACATGCAAAAATGGGCTCAAGCTACAGGAAGAAAAATTGAACCCCTAGCCTTCTACAACTGCAAAACATATTTAAGTAGCCAAGAAAGAAATGGTTTACTCAGAGACAATCTACTTCCACAAACTCTCTCTGTTGTAAAGCAAAGTACGTGAGGGGGATTTGGTGTGGAAAAGGGTAATAAAGAGCCATTAACTTTACAAAACACCTGCTCCTCCCTATCCATTTTATAGGGATCCACAAACTGCCTGCATTTTTTGGACTCTTCTTATTGTGGAACCTGGCTACGGTGAAGATCATTTTATTTCTTTAAAATATTTTTACCACACCTTTCTCCTTCAGAAGACCCAAGGCAGCTTAGTGCCTGAACTTTCAAATTCAGCACTACACCGTTGAGGAGCAGCAAGACAATTCGGCAAAATAGCTTGTGCAGCTACTCGAGGGCCGCACGAATGTTTTGGGGGTTTTACTTGTCATTTCTGTACTTCATTCTGCATTTCATTTTTCCCATATGTCCGAAGAAGTGGAGATGGTCCACGAAAATTTTATTTCTTTAAAATATTTTTACCACAAGACGAATGCCTCGCACAATGAAAAACTCGCAAGACGAAAGCGTTTTTTTGGTGACTCACAAGATGAATTTTTCTATGGCCGTGCTTCGCAAGATGAATTTTTTTTCCTATTTTGGGGGGCTTGTTTTAAATTGTACAACCGTTAGTACTGCGCTTCGCAAGACAAAAATTTCGTAATACGACACAACTTGATCCGCTAAGCAATTTTTTTGTGAGGGAGAAAAAAAGACAGGCAAATGAACGAACATTTATTGAGGACCGAGAGAGCAGACGCATACCTCTCAGGTCAATGGGTGGACCTACATTGCCATTACAGAACATTATCCTGATGTATCGCCAAACAAACGGAGGAAGAGAATGGAACGACCCAACTCCGTTCAACCAAAGCGTCATGATATCTCCAGTTCAGAGAAAAAGACGGGCCAAGGGGCCCACGATCCCAGCCAGCAGCATCACGTTACTCAGTCTCTCGCCGGCTGCTCCGTTCGAGTTGCAAAAGTCGCTCTGGCAGCAGGAGGTGGAAATGCCATGTGTGTTGGTCTCAGTACACTCTGGCATACACAACTTGGACAACCGCACTGCGCCAGGGGAGCCTTGACCAAAAAAGAAAGAAAGAAAGAAGATTGAAATGTTCTTCTGGTGTCCTTCACTCTAATCCATAATCAATGGCCAAGTAGTACCGCATTTTTCTGTGTATAAGACTATACTTTTGTCTAAAATCAATTGAGGGTCATCTTATACATGGAAGTAAGCTGAGGAGAGAACAAAAACAAGTGGGAGCGGGAAAGCAGGGATCAAAGCCATCCGACCCACCCCTCCACTTGCTAAACTCTGCTTAGGTTTCTTAATTTGGGGTTAGAAAACTGGTGGTGAGGATCTTATACATGGGGCGTCTTATACACAGAAAAATACGGTATTTATGATATTTTATAGTACCATCATGGAAGCTCAATGTTTGATGCATCAGACTTTTGCCTCCATTCTTAATTCTCATTTAGCCACCTATTAATAGACCCAAGCCTATTGGCGGGAGTGCGGCTAACTTAGAAGGTGGATTTAAAAGCTGGCTTCTGTGGCTTTTTAACCTCCTCCCTACTCTCTATAATTTGCATTACACCTGCGGTGAGTAAACTATATGTTACTCACAACAGAACTGCTCACTGAATTTGGGATTATAAAATCGTAGCGCTGGAAGGAACCAGCAACAATAAAGGATAAAACATGCAATATTGAAAAATGTCAGTATCCTTAGAACATGCAATCTTGAGAAGGAACAATATCATAAAAAATATGATTTTATGACTTGTCTGAAGTCAAGGAAAGCATTTCCTTCCAGGCCAAGCCACAATATTTAAATTCACAAAGCACTGCAGTAGAGGGCATCCTTCAGTCTCGAGAGACGAAGGTCATGTGCTCTGAATAGAGGTCTTGGAACAGCGTCTAGCGTGGCTGAGAATTCAAGACTGACCATCCCTTCTACGCTTCCACAGCTCTGCACAACTTCATCAGCAGTATTTGCAACTTAAAGAAAGAACTAGAAAATGCCCTTCCAGTTACTAGAATGCAAAAGATTGCTGACCGGCAAACAAGAGGGAGGGAAGGAGGGGGTACCTTTTTTGTACACTGAATACTGTAATTCATATATAACATTCACTGTGACATGATGTGGATATGACCAATTTGACATTCAGGATGGAAAAAGCAGAGGTATGTGAGAGGTTCAGGCAGATCGAGTTACGAACTCTTTTTCCCCTTTTTTTAAAAGCTAAGTCATCTTAGGTTAAAAGGAAAAAAGAAAAAATATCCCCGTCTAGTGGCAGAAGGCGGAATAGCAGCTTCCCATTAGTTTCTATGGACGAAAAGAGCAGATACAGATTAAATGGTTTTCAGTGCCTTCCTATGGGAAATGCAGATTCGACTTAAGAACTTTTCGACCTGAGAACTGCCTTCCAATACAGATTAAGTTTGTAAGTCGAGACCCCACTGTAATTCATATATAACATTCTCTGCGACACGATGTGGATATGACCAGTTTGACATTCAGGCAGAAAAAACCAGAGGTATGTGAGAGGTTCAGGCAGTGGTTTACCATTGTCATCCCCCAGTGAGGTTCTATGGCCGGGCGGGGATTTGAACTCAGCTCTCCTCAGCCTTGTCTTGACACTCTATCAGCTGCACCACACAGTCTGTCATGTTCAAGGACTTACCGATCTCTAAGGCCCCCACAATCGTCATGCAGTATTTGTCCGCCGCAGAGCAGGCTGTTGGCGTCATGCATCGGTCGTTGCTGGATTGGGCGGTGCACGTATAACATTTTAGCGAGGAAGCTGTGGAAACAAGGAAATTCTGGGTGAATTCATGGGAAAACCCACTGAGGGTGTCCTGGCATGATCTCCTGGATAAGCTCTGCTTCCTTCACCCAATCAGGAGCACACAATCAGCCAGAAGAGGCTGGATACCAACAGTGACGCTCAAATAACATTCAAAAAAGTTACTTTATTTGGACCAGAGTTCCCAGAATTCCCCAGCTGCTTAGGAATTGAATTGCTGTCTCGTAACTTCTTCAGGATCTGGCTTGAATTCCTCTGTGGGTGTGTGCGCACACGCGCATGCTGCCAAGTCAATTCCAACTTATGGCAACCCTTTCCAAGGTTTTCCACATAGAGAGGATTCAGAAGTGGCGTCCCCTTCCCGTCTTCTGGGGGAGCCGAGGGGCTGTACAGAGTCTTCTGTGCTTCTATCATATATTCAATTTTTTTTAAAAAGCACACAATCAGCCAGAAGAGGCTGGATACCAACAGTGACGCTCAAATAACATTCAAAAAAGTTACTTTATCTCGTAACTTCTTCAGGATCTGGCTTGAATTCCTCTGTGGGTGTGTGCGCACACGCGCATGCTGCCAAGTCAATTCCAACTTATGGCAACCCTTTCCAAGGTTTTCCACATAGAGAGGATTCAGAAGTGGCGTCCCCTTCCCGTCTTCTGGGGGAGCCCAGGGGCTGTGCAGAGTCTTCTGGGCTTCTATCATATATTCATTTTTTTAAAAAGTCTGCACCCCACCCAGGGTAAAGAGAAATAGTACCAAAACCATCCAGCAATTGATTGCAATTTAAAACTAGAATGCACACGGGTCTTTTAAAAAAGTATGTGTGCATGCACGGGGGCACACCCATCTTGTCGGAAATTAATAATGCAATACTCATGCGTCATCAAGTCAATCTGGATTTATGGTGATTCTTTTTAGGGTTTTCCAGGTAGAGAGGAAGGGACATGGTGGCGCTGCGGGTTAAACCGCAGAAGCCTCTGTGCTGCAAGGTCAGAAGGCCAGCTGTCGTAAGATCGAATCCACGTGACGGAGTGAGCCCCCATCGCTTGTCCCACCTCCTACCAACCTAGCCGTTCAAAAGCATGTAAAAATGCGAGTTGATAAATAGGTACCATCTTGGTGGGAAGGTAATGGCATTCCATGTCTAGTTGCGCTCACCACGTGACCACAAAAACGATCTTCGGACAAACGCTGGCTCTATAGCTTGGAAACAGGGATGAGCACTGTGCCCTAGAGTCGGACATGACTGGATGAAATGTCAAGGGGAATCTCTACTGGACATGACTAGGCTAAATGTCAAGGGGAATCTCTACTTTTACTTTAGGTAGAGAGGATTCAGAAGTGGTTTCTCATCTCCTTCTCCTGAGATTCAGAAGTGGTTTCTCATCTCCTTCTCCCGGGGGAGGGTGCTCTGGGACGGTGCAGCTTGCCCAAGGCCACCCAGGCTGGCTTTTCTCCCAGGAGAAATCGAACTCCCCACTTCTGGCTCTGCAGCCAGAGACCTTAACCACTGAGCATCCCAGCCAACTTTGAATTCATAGCCCACCATATTTGGTTTGGGCTTTTATTCTGCTTCAGCAGACTTCTCTCCTTGAACCCCAACGCTGCCACCTTCTGCTTTGCCTTGATCGTTTTCCAAATCTTCTTCCCTGATCATCAGATTCCCTCTCTTGGCTCCAACCCATCCCTAATCCTGTTCCCTTTATTTATTTTATTTTATGTATTTATTTAATTTATATGCCGCCCACACTACCCAAAGATCTCTGGGCGGCTTACAACATTTAAAATACAATAAAATTTAGAACAATTAAAATACAATTAAAATATATATATAAAAATTGCCATCAGAACCACAGCTAATATTATTTCAATTAAAAGCCTTCTGGAACAGGCCTTTCTTTGGCAAAAACTTTATAAGCAGCCGGTTTGTTTCTGACTTTAAAAAAAAGAAGTACAACATGGTGACAAAACAGCATTAAAACCACCGGAAGCAGTAGAATACGGAACCTCATCCCACATCTCTTCCAAATGACCGCCAAATGAAGGGTGTGTGTGGAAACCTATGTGGTTGTCCCTTATACATGTCCTTGTTCTCAAGAGCTAAACATAAGGACAGGTATTTACAATACATTTACAATACTTATTAACATGGTGCATGGAAAAAGCCCTCCAAATATGAGCTCATGAACCCCCTGCAATGTGGGGGGGGAGATAGTTCTCCCCATAAGTTTTTAAGAGCTGCGGCAATTCAACCAGTAAAGTGCCCCCCCCCCCCCGTC